CATCACACACCAGAGGACACACTCAGGAGAGAAGCCCTATGTGTGTAGGGAGTGTGGGCGAGGCTTTACAGATAAGTCAGATCTCACCAAACACCAGAGGACACACTCAGGGGAGAAGCCCTATGTGTGCAGGGAGTGTGGGCGAGGCTTTACACAGAAGTCCAATCTCATCAGACACCAGAGGACACACTCAGGGGAGAAGCCCGGTGTTTGCAGGGAGGATGAGTCATGAGCCATAAATCACACCTCAGCAGCACCAGGGCAAGTGTAGGCACCACATACCTCATACCCCAGCTCTGAGGGGGCTTCAGAGGAAGCCTGCTGGCTCTTCCCTCCCCAAGAGTGTTAATTAGTACAGAAGTAACTGGTCAAACATCCTCCACTTTCAAGAGGAGAGGCAATAGACAAACAGTTCCTTAAGTGCTGCCGGGATGGCAACACCAATGTCCCCAAAGGTGTTTTTGGCCTCGTTTTAATAAAGTTTGTGTCCAGACAAACCTGAAGCCGACATGCCTCATCCCTCTTATCACTGAAAGCAGAATTCCAGGAGGGCCTCAGAGAACCCTCAGCCACAGGTCTGAACCCGGGAAGGTAGGAATCTGGCGTCAGTCCAGTGAGGTTCCTGCCAGGGAGAGGGATTGAGACATACTCACCAGGAACACGATTAGGACACCAACAACCCCTTGGCTTCTCCTGGCTCCTCTCCTGATTCCTCAGACCTCTGTAGCCTCAGAGGTGAAAGCCAGAGAGAGTGTGTACAGGTGTGTGTGCATGTGTGTGCATGTGTGTGTGTTCGTGCGTGTGTGTGTGTGTGTGTGCCCGTGTGCCTGTGCACACACCTGTGCTGCCTCAGTCGGGGCACTGGTTGCCCTCTTCTTGCTGCCTCTGTAGCATCGGCATCTCGCATGGGGCACAGCATGTGGGCGCCAGGTCTGTCCACAAGGGTTTGAGTCTCAGCTCTGCCCTCACTACTGTGTGACCTAAGGCAAGACCCCCAACGTCTCTACCTCTTTCCAATCTATGAAGTGGGAGGGTGACCCAGCCTTTGGAGTGTCATTCAGAGTGGGGTCAGCACCGGCGCCTCTGGCTCAGGGTGGCTAGAACGCGCGTCGCTCGGTGAACAGCGTCTGCCAGGCCTTGAGGTGACAAGGGAGGCAGAGGGCGTGGGCCCGGGAGCCAGTTCAGAGCTCGAGCAGCCCCACTGTTCTT